TGAGGCTTTAAATGTATCTGCAGCTTTCACTTTAATCAAAATAGCTTAATTTAGGGGGAAAAGAGCCCACTTCTTTTTTCTTTATAAAATCCTGAGTTTATTGCTTCCTGAATTTTTTTTTTAAAGGGAGAAACACAGACCATCTGCTCTGAGGAGCTCCGTTTGACAGCTTAACCAGGGTCATGCTAGGATTCAGAAATTGCTGAGTGTGAAAGGGAGGCCCTAGGTGTGGGTCTGACGAGGGCGTGGGCAGCCAGGATCAAGAGTCTCCTCGGAATAATCTCAACATAAGCAGTTTGGGCATAGGGTGGGGTGTCAGCTTTTGGGTTGTCTGTGAATTTTAATACATCTCCTTGTCAGTCACACCTTGCCCTACAGCCTCCAGGGACTTGCATCAGAGCCATGGAGAAGCAGCAACAGTGATTAAATATTCAACTTCATTTAAGTCTCTGTAAATCCTGGTGTAGATCCTGGTGGCTGCTTATTGCAAATACCTGTGACTTCCTGCCTGAGAACTGTTTTCTGCTGGACAAACAACATGGGAGAGTGAAGCTTTTAGACAATTACAGAGAGGGGTTTGGTGAGGAAGTGCCCTCAACAATGGTGGGCAAAGAGCTATTCCAGCTCTGGAATGGGACAACAGCATATGTTCTATACTGTCTCCTAAAGGTCCTCAGCAGAGCTGGGATCCAAGGCTAGTAGGCTAGATAATGAATGCACCCTTTATTACTGGCTTTCTTTCCACAATTTTCTTACTCTGTCCTCGCCTCATACTTCCTAATATTGTCTCCCTTATGTAGGGAGCCGTCCCTGCATTCTCCATTACAATGATGGCGCCTGCAGGCACTGAATGTAAATTATTGCGCAGGCGCTGGGTAATTTTCCATTTCCTTGATCTCTGCCTATTCCGTGGCGTCATATGGCCTGAGGAGCTGAAGCCAATCATAGGGTGACACGTCCCAGGCGGCGGCTGCCAGCCTTTATTAGGGGACGGGATTCTTGGCTCGGGGTCTCCGCTCTGGTAAGCTTATGCTCTCCTCTCAAGACGCATTAAAGCTTTCCTGCAGAAGGATCCGAATGTCCTGTGTGGTTCTTGCTGGCGAGGCCATAGCGTGGGACACCCTTATAAATTATCTGCCCTTAAATGCAGGTGTATCTTGGAATCCTTTCTCGAGTCCTGTATGCAGTCAGGCCCTGAGCACTTAAGCAAAGCAGCACAGGTTAAGAGTCACAGAGTGACACTGAAAAACCTACTTGTCCCAGGAGTTCTCTCCATCTATCAAATGGGATAATGACCCAGATCTCATACTGTTTGATTCAATGAAAACTTTGAGAATGTTCTTACTTAAACGTGTTTCCTATAGCCTTTTGCAAAAGTGGTAAATACTGAATAAATATTATGGTTGTTGTATTCAAATTTTTATGTCACTGTAACCAGATACTTGAGTAAAGCAACTTGGAGGAGTAAAGATGTATCTTGGCTCCAAGTTTGTCTGTGGTGGAGAGGGTGTGGCAGGGCAGAGCAGCTCCATTATAGAAGACAGGAAGCAGATGAGAGTGCAAGAACGAGAAGAGGCTACAGCAAGTTATGTCCACCATGCCCACCCTCCGTGGTCCACTCCTTCCATCCCTGCCCCGCCTCCCACTTCTTACAATCTCCCAATGATGTTATGTAATGAATCCATCAGGGGATTATTTAAATGCCCCCAGGATCCAATCACTTCCCCAAAACCTGTTAACTGGTAACCAAGGCCCCAGTTATATGAGCGGAGCCTGTGGTTACCATTTCATAGTCAACCCATACCAGTCATTAACATAGCACTTAGTTGATATGGTATGAGAGTTTGAACAAGAAATGTTCCCCCATGGGTTGAAATATTTGAAAGCTGGTCCATAGTTGATGGTGTTGTTTGGGGAAGTTTGGGGGGAGGGGTGCAACCTTCCTAGAGGGACATCAGTTGGGACCAGCTTTCTAAAGTTGCTTTTTTTGTTTGTTTGTTTGTTTTGTTTTTAGAGACAGGGTTTCTCTGTGGCTTTGAGCCTATCCTGGAACTAGCTCTTGTAGACCAGGCCTCAAACTCACAGAGATACGCCTGCTGGGATTAAAGGCGTACACCACCAACGCCCGGCCTAAAGTTGCTTTTGGTTGTGGCATTTTATTACAGCATCAGAAAAGTGACTAATACACATGGCATAGCACTGGAGGCCATGAGTGATTCGGCACATTTGCTGGAGGACATGATTCTGGTACGTACTGTTGATTTAGCAAAATCAATAGCATAGAGAATAGGAGGAAAATGGTAGACACCACATGTTATCTCAGAAATTGAACAACAGCGTGGGGTTAAGGAGATGGCTCAGTGGGTAAACCATCTGCCACACAAGGGTGAGGACTTGGATATGGATATCCAGAATCCATGTACAGCTAGATGCGGCTGCCGAGTCTGTGTGCTTGTTTGCAAGGGTTTGAGATTTCTCTGCTGTTACCCATTGCGCTTAAGATTTTTCCTGTCTTTTAATGAACTGGCAGAGAAAGCAAACAGATCAAGACCCTAGTCTGTAACAAAAGCAAATGGAAGGCAGAACTGACACCGTATTTTCCCCTAACTTCCCACATTCAAGAATTTTAAAAACCCAGAGCACACACACACACACACACACACACACACACACACACCAACGAATTTTTTTTTTTAAAGATCAACAATGCAACAATGGTGTTGCCAATTGCTTTGTCTCAACTGATGACTACAGTGTTACCATCAGTAACTTCTTATCTTTATGCTAATATACACACCACACACACACACACACACACACACACACACACACACACACACACACACTTCCCCCCCCTCCCATCCCAGAGATAGGGTTTCTATGTGTAACATGTGCCTTAGCAGTCCTGGAAAACTCTGGAGACCAGGCTGGCCTTGAACTTGAGTGTTGGGATTAAAGTTTTAAACCACTACCCTGCCTTAGTCCACACACTTGAGTGGGTGAAATCCCAGTCTTATCCTAGCGTCACAGCCACACTCTCTTGCCTCTTACTCCTCTCTTGCTTCTCTGTCTTTCTTGTCTCTTGCCTCTTCCCTGTTTGTCTGTCTGCCTGGTGCTCTCATGTCCCCACTTCTACATGACTTTTTGCTCTTTCTCTCCTCCTCCCCCAATAAACCTCTTGCACTAACTCTGTTGCATGTGGCTTGTTTGCTTAGTGGTATACCTTGGCAGAGCCCTCAAAAGGTACCCACTTTGCCTTCCTATTTTTAAATCCTTACACTCCTTGCAGGTATACAAAGCAATTCTGCTCTGGAAGAAACTATGGATCCGTAATGATTTTGCACCACAATCTCTGTTCCCTTAGACACTAACAGATACATTTCTCCCTAGTTTATGTAGAGACATAAAAGGGTGTAAGTTGATGTGGCTCACTTGACCTTGAGAAAAATAATCAAAAGGCAAAGGAACTAAGTGAGTGGGTGACATGCCTGCCATGTGAGCACGAGAATCTGAGTTCAGATCCTCAGAATCCCAGCAGCAGCTGCACAATTTGTACTCTGGTTTATTAAAGCAAGCAAACAAAGGACACAAAATGGGGGTGGGTAAGGAGATTGGAGGTGAATCTGAAAGGAACAGAGGTAAATATGATCAAAACACACTGTATGAAGTTCTCTAATAAAAATATTCTATTTTTTAAAAGCTGGTCAAGGTTGCTGCAAAAGAGGGAATGGGGGTTGGGCAAAAACAGGTGGGAACAGGCAAAAGCACCTTGTCCCAAATGCTGCCATTTTGACTTCAGACTTCATTTTACCTGTCTGGGGAAACCAAGTCCAGGTTCCCAAGCCCTAGGAGAGCTGGGAACCTTCCAATAGCTGATGTGCCTCCTCCTTACACTATACAAATAGTCGTTATGCATCTTTGGTTCTCTAGAAACATAATGGCTGTTTTTTGTTGTTGTTTGTTTGTTTGTTTGTTTGTTTGTTTTCCCGAGACAGGGTTTCTCTGTGTAGCTTTGGAGCCTATCCTGGCACCAGGCTGGCCTCGAACTCACAGTTCTGCCTCTGCCTCCCTAGTGCTGGGATTAAAGGCGTGTGCCCCCAACGCCCAGCCATAATGGCTGTTCTTAACAGAAAGAACAAATGAATCTGTTTGGACTAAAAGCTTGCGTTGTATGTCAAGAGATAAAGATTAAATATTCAAGTAAAGACCCTAATCTCTAAATCCTGTTTGGTGAAAATTGTAATTGTAACTTGGCAACAAATGTTTGAGATTTTTGTGCTAAAATACTTGCTTCAACTGACACTCAGGGTTGCAGTCTGTTCTGTGGCCCTAATTGATTGGCCCCCTCCTCTTTTTCCCTTCTTTTTCTGCCCTGCATTAAATCTTGCCTTATGGTAGCTTCTTGTGTCTTCTTGGGTTGATTTGGAGCCTAGGACCACAACACAGATGCTTGGACCTCATTGGCCATAAACGGATGCTTGAAACTCACTGGCCACCCAGTCTAGCCAATCAGTGAGTCCTGCCTTCCAGTGAGAGACCCTGTCTCAGAAAAAAATGCCAGGTGAGGTGGGACCCACCTTTAATCTGTAAAGTAAAGCTGGGTGCTTTGCTTGCCAGCCTAATACCTCAATAAAAATTGATAATAAATGAATGGATGTATGACCACCATAGAATGAATGGAGCTGTGGATGAGAAAAGCTGATGACCAGTATCCTTGCACAAATGACACCCAGCAATCACAAAGCATCATAATTGTGTCCATCAGCCTTCTGCCTTTAAAAATCCATGCTGCTGTTGTCCTGAGATGTGTTCTGTAACCAAGCTTTGGCAGCCACCTTTACACCATATGCAAGAGTCTTGTCCCAACAACTTTACATCTGAATTCCACACGTTTCTGGCTAATTGTTTATTAGTTGTGCCAGCTTTAAAAGAAAATTGACTTTGGGTGGTGTATGAAGTACACCTTTGTATGTTCCTTTAAAACCACCAGAATTGTGATTTTATTCCAGGCGAACCCTAGGGTTTTGAGTAAAGTCATTCACCTTGATTAAGCCATCAGGACCAATTCTGTTTGGAAAAAACAGATATCCAGAATTAGTTTTAGCAATCAATTTTAAAAGCATATTATATATATATTTATATATGTATACATCACCCCAAATTAATTTCACTGGGGCTGCCTGTAGCAGGAAAAATAAAAGACCCAGAGACTGATATTGGAGTTCAAGCTTCAAGCTGAAGGTCAGAAAAGCAAAGCAGCCGGTCACTAGCTCCCACTCTACTTCAGACTGAAAGGTGATCCTGGCTCCACCAAACCTCAGACTGAAGCCTCTCCTCAGCATGGCTGGAGAATCCTGAGACTTCAATGTCTTCCTATCAATGTGGCTGGAGAATGAATGCCTGATTCTGACTACTAAAGACCCTGCTCCTATCTTTTATACCCCTCTAGTGCTGGGATTAAAGGCATGTGATCCCAGGTGCTGAGCTCATCTTTGTGTGTGCTGTTTCTCACTAGGACTGGATTTTTTTTTTTTTTTTTTTTTTTTACATTCCAATCTCAGTCCCCCCTCCCTCCTCTCCTCCCTCTTCTTCCACTCCATGCCCCCCATCACATCCCATTTGCTCCTTGGAGAGGGCAAGGTCTCCCCTAGGAGGTCTACTAATACTAAGTCTGTCCCATCATCTCTTTGAGGCAGAACCAAGGCACCTCCTCACCCCCACACTCCTGTGTCTAGGCTGAGCAAGGTATCTCTCCATGTAGAATGGGCTCCACTAACTCAGTTTGTGAATTCAAGTTAGATCTTGGACCCACTGCCAGTAGCCTAATATATTGTCCCATTCACACCATTGTCACCTATATTAAGGGAGTCTTGTTCCGTCTTATGCAGGTTCTATTTGTCAGACCTGAGTCAGTGATCTCTCACTAGCTCGGGTCAGCTGATTCTGTGGGTTTCCCCATCATGGTCTTGACTCCTTTGTTCATATCATTGCTCATCCCTCACTTCGATTGTACTCCAGGAGCTTGGCTCATTGGTTAGTTGTGGATTTCTGCATCTGCTTCCATCTGTTTCTGGAAGAGGGTTCTAGCTTCTCTAGGATTGTGGATTGTAGGCTGGGTATCTTTTGCTTTATGTCTGGGATCCACTTATGAGTGAGTACATGCTTTATTTGTCTTTCTGGTTTTGGTTTACCTCACTCAGGATTGCGATCTTGTGTAGATCTTGATGGCCTTGGACACAGAGATCCATCTATCTCTTAATCCTGAATCGTAGGATTAAAGATGAGTACCACCACCTCCTAGCTTCTGACTGTTGGGATTAAAGGTGTGTCACCGCTGCCTGATCTCTATAGCTTGAGGCTGACTTTGCTGTTCTGAATCCTCAGGCAAGCTCTTAATTCTTTTCTTTTTTAATTAAAAATGCTATTATGGTATGTGTGGAGGTCAGTGGAGTCTGCATTTTTAACATGCTCCGGTGAGTGCCGCTTCTAACTAACTTCCGAAGCCCTCCATGGGTCTCTCTCCTGCACTGTTCCTTCCTTTCTCAAATCAGTATTTCATGTTACTCAGAACGGAAAAGTGTGCTGAAGTCCCCTGACTTACAATGGGGAGCAAGTCTTTGACTCCCTGTTTTAAGTGGAAAATAGCCCTGGATCCGTGCCACACCCCGGTACATGATCCCTCTCCCTTGCTGACGGTTGACTCACACTTCCTGTTCAATGTAGTTGAGCATCCTGCTGACATGGGATGAGGAGATCTCCCCATCCACTTCAGCGATATACGTGTAGAGAAACTGGAAGGTGCTGAAGGGGATCCGGGGTGGCCCTCCATCGTGGTCACCGGATAACACTTCACACACTATCTTGAGAGTTTTGGCAATGGTCTAGAAAACCACAACACAGAAGGAGGAGAAAAATCACGTTCCAGGCTAGATCCCCGAGATCAGTTTAGACTCAAGAAAGGAAACAAAACCAATGCTCAGGTAAGATGGAGTGAGGATGACCCAAGAGTCCAGACAGCTTAACATGTGCCAATCAATCCATTCTAAACATACTGACTTCCAAATCACTTCTCATTCTTTGTTGAAGAAAATTCAATTTATAAGCTGATAAACACTTCAAGATATTTGTTAAGTTCAATTAGAATAACCTCTTTAAAGGAGAACAGCCTTTCATCCTATAAAATTAGCACTGTCTTGGGCCAGTGAGATGCCTCCGTGAGAAAATGTGCTGGGCATAAGCCTGACGACCTGAGTTTGATTCTCAGGACTATGTTAGAAGTGTTACAGAATTGACATGCCTTCCAATGGGGAGTCACACCGAGGGCATAGAGATTAATAAAGGAAGAATTTTAATCACAGTACAGCAGTAGTTGTGGCTACTGTATAGAAAGGGGCTAGGCTTGAACAGAAATCCCCATCGGTTTATGCAGTTTCACAGTCCCAAGTTACGTTTTGAGTAATTTAGTATGGTCCAAGGTTTGGTTGTTTGGGCAAATGGGGAGATTTACAGAGTAAAATATTATTGTAGATATCTCAAGCCAGCCCAGGCAGCTGTTAACCAGGGGCATCCTGCCTGCTTGGCAGAATCATTATATCCCTGATAAGTGAACTGGAGTGCTCCTTTAGCTAAAGTCTGTTTTGTGTAACTTAGTGTTTCCTAAGCAAGTTTAGTAGAACCTTTCTATTTCTTTCGGTTTTGTTTGTTTGTTTGTTTGTTTTTCGAGACAGGGTTTCTCTGTGTAGCTTTGGAGCCTATCCTGGCACTTGCTCTGGAGACCAGGCTGGCCTTGAACTCACAGAGATTCACCTGCCTCTGCCTCCCGAGTGCTGGGATTAAAGGCGTGCGCCACCAACGCCCGGCAAACCTTTCTAACATCTACTTATTATTGCCAGTTTTCCTAGAAGAGAACCAACTCCTGCAGGCTGGCCTCTGACCCTGTGCACATGCATACTAAGTAAATGAAAAACAAAAGATAATCAGAAATATTTCTTATTGCCTTCCTACCTTATCTCCCAAAGCTTAGAGATATCCATCCATCCATCCATCCATCCATCCATCCACTTACCTACCTACCTAATTATATATAATAAGTATTACATACACACAGACACACAGACACACAGACACACACACACACACACACACACACACACACACACACAAAGATAAAGATACCTGGGTCAAAGTCATAATAGGGAAGGAAAGTTAGGAGAAGTGTATTGTTTCTAGGGAGACAGGGGTCCCACACAATAAATACCACTTAAGTAAAATCATCTAATACATATCACTGTCCTGGTTCATTCTTATTGTCCACTTGATACAACCTACAGCTACCTGGAAGAGGGAACTTCAATAGAAAAATTGATATGACCAGATTGGCTTGTGGGCATGTGACTTTATGACTAATTGATGTAGGTGGGCACAGCCCACTGTGAGTGGCACCATCCTTAGGTAGGAGGGCCTGGACTGTGTTAAGAAAGCTATTGACATAAGCTTGAGAATAGAAATCCTGGACTGTGTAAGAAAGCTATTGACATAATCTTGAGAATAGAAATCCAGTAAGCAGCGTTCTTCCATGGTTTCTGCTGAAAATGATGTGAATAAATTTAGCTCATCTTCCTAGAGGCAGTTTTACTGAATAGCAGTGACTTTTAAACGTCTTTTGCTCTAATTAATTACTATTCATTTTGAGTTAATATTTAAAATTTATTTCCATTTAACTAATGTTGTATAAAATAGGATCTTCAACATACAACAGTTGAAAAACTATAAGCCACAGATGTCAAAAAAAAAAAAAAACTATTGAGGTTTGTAGCTTTTTAACAGGTCAGTCACCTGGAGTCCCAGGAAAACACTCATTCTGGGCATTTGCATTAACATGGGGTGGGTCTGCATCAGATGGCAAGGTGTGTGTGTTGTGTGTGAGAGGCTGTCCATGGGTGGGGAAGCCTAAGTGTGAGATGAGGGCAACAGGAGAGCGGTTTGGAGTGTATTTGCAAGTATGAGTGTGTGTGCTAAGCTGCATAGTTCTGCTCACAGTATTTCCTGCTTCTAAAACAGTTCTGTCCCCCTATTTCATTATGCCGTCCTCTTTTGAGGGTACTGTTAGAGGCTGAACTATCCTCCCCTCAAGTTCTGATGTTGAAGTCCTAAGTGCCAGCATCTGAGACTTTAGAGTTAGGGAGAACGGAATGAAATGGTGCATGCCTGTAGCACTCAGGAGGCTAAGGCAGGAGGATGGACAATTCAAGGCCATCCGGAGCTACATAATGACCTCCTATCCAAAAGCATAACACTAAACCAAAATGCCACCCACCATAAAAGTTAAAAAGCGAATTAAATTGCAATGAAATGATGAGGACAGACTTTAGTTCGGCATGACTGGTGTGTAGAGACTGACACAGGAGGAAGCTCTCATAGACCAGCAAAGGAGGCTTCCGAAGAAACAACCCTCTAACACCACAACCTTTGACCTGTCTGGCCTCCAGATCTTAAGACAAAACTTTTCTGTTGTGTAAACCACCCAGCCTGTGGTAAGTTGTTCTCGCAACCCCTGCAAGCAACTAGATGCTTTGGACCTTAACTGTTTGTTGATTATCCGTACAAGCCTTTACATTCTAATGTCCCCATACTTATGAAATATTTTATTTTTAGTTGTGTGGTGTCTGTGTGAGCGTGTGCACATTAGTACATGAATGCACATGCTTCAAAGTCTAGAATAGGGTGTTGGTTCACTTGGAGTTACAGGTGTTTGTGAATGACCCGAAGTGGTTGCTGGGAACTGAACTCAGGTCCTCTGTACAAGTTCAAAGTGCTCTTAACCACCAAGCCATCTCTCCAGCTCCCTTAGAACTATAAAATATTTTGAATTAAAAAAAAGATTATGGCTAAATAACTTCTTGGAGTGGAACTTTAAAAAAATCAATTTAAATGTAAAAATCTTCACATTCTCTCTCACCAGAGTCATGTGGGGGGCGTGGGGGGGATACTTCATCATGGCAGCCTCCAACATCATGTAAAACTTTGTTTTAAACTCAGACATGAATACACTTCTTCCATACATGATCTCTTCCTTTTTATGTGCAGCCTTGGTGGAACAGCAGGTGGCATTATGGCAGCCAAGAGGAAGGAATGCTGGACAGGAAGAGGACACAGTCTGCCAGATGTCACATGTGGAGCCATGCATGTTACATCCAGAGAGCTCAAGACTGGAGTCACTACTGTCTCTGTTGCCTACTGGAGTAAAAGTTCCAGCCATCAGACACTTCTAATAGGAGCAAAATCTGCTTTCCTGGATGGTAAAAGACCATAGCTTGCTTGCAAGAGAAGGGAAAATTCCTAGTTGACTTGTCTCCAAGGACATAAGAATAGATGGAACTCAAGCCCTCTGCTAAGTGATGATGCCTTGACTTTCTCAGTCGCCTGGGGCTTCTATAATGATGTATCTTAAATGTAGAAATTTAATACAAATCAGAATCTGATGCTTATAGTTCTGAAGGCCAAGAAGTTCAAGATCAAGGGCTGACAATGACCTATTTTTTGTAGGTGGTGATTTCTCGCTGTAGTCTCCCATGGTGCAAGGGGCAAACAGCCACCTCCGATCCCCATTTATAGACTTAGTTCCTCTTCCTGAGGGCTGTACTCTTGTGACCTAAGGCTCTATTCATAATATCATCTCCTTGGGACTTAAGATTTCCCTACATGAGCACTGACCAGCCCCACAATTAAGCTCCAGCATGACATAAGTGGGTGTAAGAATTATTCCTAGATTCTCAGGCATCTTTGGTACACAGACTATGCACTGCCAGGATGACTTTACCTCTGGGTGTTCTCTGATGGGAATGATGAAGGACATCAGGCTGTTTTGGTGGAAGCAGGTAAGTGGGACAGAATGACAGCTTGTTAGAGGTGAAAGGACCTTACAGAACACTTGATCCAACATCCTTGTTTTGGAACGATGGAGAAAGACACAGCTTACCGTATGGCTTCCTCCCAGTTGTGAGGCAGGCACATCAGAGAAAGCCTGCCAGGTACATGATGTGCAAAACAAAAAAGGAGTTGGAATGTGGCTTTCCAAAGTCACCCTCAGGCTACTGTGAGATATGGGGACAAGAAGATGACTCAGTCATCTCACACAGTGTTGAGAGGCTTAGACCAAAGCCAAAGAGCAGATGAGAAGAATGTACAGCAAACACTGGTGGGGGGGCACACAAGGGAGACCTGAGATGGGCCAATGGAGACCATTTGATGCTTTGACCAAACCAAGAGATGCAAAAGCCTAAGCTACAAGTGGCAAGTGGCCAATCAGCAGCATTGCAGTGAAGACCAGAGGGTCTAAAGAGGCCACACCCCTTCATGCTAGATCAGCCGTTTCTAAAACACTCAGTTGGAGAAGAGCAAGGAGAAACCCCAAGAGGCAGTGGTTACCTGGAGGTGGTTTCATTTGCTGCACCTATCTAAGTGCTAAGATTGGCTCAAACCTATTTAGTTCCTACTGTATCCTTTGAAGGTGAGGTAGAGATCAGGGTCAGAGGTCAAGGTCAGAATTAACGGAGAGAGAGTCACAGAGCATCCTATTAATAATTTGGAGCCTCATGAGACTTTATAAAATGTGAGCACTTTAAAATAGTTTTCTTCTGTGATATCTTTCAATCCTTGAACCCCACCCCCCAAACAAACATGAGCTTAGTCCTGGTTGACAGCTCATTTGTCCTGCTATGTTTGCCTCCTCTCCTGGGAGAATAGTCATTTATTCATTATATAATGTTTCTATGAAAGACAATGAAGAACAAAAAAAACAATCACAAACATTCCTCTTTTTTTTTTTTCTCTCTGGAGAAATGATTATGATGACGGTTTCAGGGGAAACCCACAAGAAAAGTTGGATTACAATATTTCTGCTAAATTTACACAGAAACAAAAATGCCAAGTACGTGTTTGGAGCACATTTGTAAAGGAAGACCAAGATCGTGCTTGGCTGTGCTGTGAGATTCAAGTTCCTGTCTCATCTTTGTTGGCCTGAGTGGAGGCAATGAGTTCTTTATTGACCTTGACATATATCTCGGGGCTTCAGAAACTAGTAGTGGCTCACTTTCAAAAACAGCATTTCTCATTCATTCTTGTTCATTATCAGTAACTAACAAGACTGCGCCCACCTAGACCAGACCTCGTTTTAAAGGTACATAAAAGCTGGTTTCATCATTTTTTTTTCTTTTCAAACCAGGAAATGGCTTTTCCGACTTTCAAACTAATTTGGAAAAGGCCTGAATTGGTATGAACTTCCTCTCTCTGTGATTATGATTCTAGAAATCAAAATCTTTTTTCCTGTTCATTTAAAAATGTTTAATACACTCTTTGCTTTCTCTTTTCTGTCTATCTTATGTCAGCTTGTGTTTACCAACAGTTTTCTATAAGGCTGAATATCCTTTTAAGGTCTCTACCAGAATGGTTTCTAGGTATCTAAACCCCACAAGTAAACAAGAGTTATTATACAGCTAGAAGTTGTGAACAAAGTGGGCAGAACAGACTGAGGGCAATGGTTGAAAGTCACAAATAACCCAAAGCCAAACTTGGTCAGCTCTCTGCAGAGTCTGGTGATAGCTATCCCCTTCTTCCCCTACCTCTTGCTTCTGATCAGTGAGCCTGGGAGTGACCTTAATTCAGAGAGCAGAAGAAGGCATAAAAGGCAGGTTTTCTTTTGTTACCATCTCTGGAGAGCTGGAAGGGGGTAGATGGATTGTTCTTCCAGGCCCAGAGAAAAGTTATGGGTCATTTCAAGTTTGTTTTTTGTTTTTTTGTTTTTTTTTTGTATACTGAGAACTGAGCCTAGGGCTTTACCCGTACGAAACCAATGCACTACCATTGAGTCATTCCAGCCCTCCACCCTATGAGACAACCCAAACAAAAAGGTAACTTACAACCCCAAGAGAGCTACAAGCAAGGGCTAAAAACTTCAGCCACTCGATCTCCTCTGTGAAGCGACCCACATTCATCACACTGTTAAACAGATCTGTTGGGAGATTCAGCACCTTCCACATCTGGGCCAGCTCATCTGCATGGATGATCAGCCTGCCAGCAACCTTCAGGATAGAGAACACACAAAACACACATGAGGATGGCAAGCAAGATGCTCTGAGTTCTTCCAGCACTAGGAGGGGAACAGAAAGGCCAGGGGATTCCCTTTGACAGTTTTGTTTGTGAGGCCGTGATATGGCTTTAATATTTTAAAACTCCAGATGCCAGAAATATGCTAAAGAGATCCATTTATAGTATATTCTACTTTTTATGATGCCTTTATGGTCTCTAGTTTTGTTCTTAGGTTGTCCCTCTAAGGCAGATGGGACATCAGATGCACTGAGTCTCATGCATATCCCTCCTGTCTCCAAGACAGTGATATGTGGTACCCTATGGCCTATAGGGTTTAGAATGGCTATGTAGCATTGTTTGGTCCCAGGAACTTGAGAGCTCTGCCATATTCTCTCCACAGAAAACTTGGCGGTTAGAAGTAGAGGGATAAGGATGAATGGCAGTTAGCTAATGACACAGTGAGGGTGCAGATGCTCCATTAATTGTCCCAACACTTTCCCAGGACCTCTGAGGCCAGTTAAATTCTGAGCCTCTAGAACCCAAGCCCCAGACACCCAAGCCTGCCCTTTCCTGTACCCTAATGTGGGGTGTCATGCTGCTCAACTGTATCTTGGGAACTGGCCAAACAAGGGGTTTTCTCAAGCCACTCCCTCCTTTTCCATTCACAGGCTAACTCCTAGGGAAATGCACGGGGATTGGCAGCATTTGCCACGAAGGCTGGGCTGTGTCTGCACCTGCTTTAGTGGTGAAAGTAGAGTATACACTTCCTGTGCAGACTGTGGTAGACCTCTTATGGTCTGGATCCATCAAGGAGATGCTGACGAGCCTGGGGAGTCACACTCTCTAGGACAGGCAACATTCATTACACTGAAACCCCTGAATATCCTTCCAGATCTGGGAAATCTATGATGACCCCAGGAGACAGCCCATCATTCAGTTTCTTCCATACTGGTTTCTGTTTCTCTGAAGAAAGATCCATGTTCAGACCAGGATTTAGTAAACTTTGGGGTAGTGTTAATGGCCAGCTGCCTGGTGGAAGCACCAGTGGCCCTTACTTAACCCATTCAGTATCCACACCACCCCTGAAGGCTCCATACCCGAGAATGCAGGACTTTCAACAGCTCAGGTGTCAGCTCAGCCCAGTTGGACAAAGTGACTTGCTCAGACCTCTCTCTCACTGGAGGAATCTCCCCACGGGACATGGCCCCAAAATACCTGCAAGAAAAGAGACAGGGTCCCAGGCTCCAATGACCTCTGGATACTTTATTGAGCAGATAATAAAACAGTATTTTGCCATGTCTAGATGGTTTGCATATAGGTCAAGTCTGATGGTGTTATTTCCACTTTTAAAAACTAAGAATGCTTAGGGAATTAAATTTTTTTCCTTCCTCTAAGAATAATGAGGAACAGCCAACAAAACTCTGGCATGCAATCACCTGGGGCATTTTCAATCACCCTCCCATCCTTTCTTAGTGTTTTATTCACATAGACAAACAGAGATCCTGGGACATTTATAGGTTATCTATATGTGTTTTTGGTAGGTGGGGATATGGAGCTTATAGGAAAATGAGAGCAAATAGAATGTTCCAGAGGTGAGTGAGAAAGGGCTTCTGGCCTGAAGGAGTGAGGCCTGCATGGGACTTCAGCAAGGGGGAGAAGGCTGGCAAGGCGCGTCAAGGAAGGGGCATAACAGCCTATATGGTGCAGGTGAAGCAGCCCCCGTCTTTGTTTCCTCAGAACTTACAGTTAAATGTGTCACTGTGTGCCACTGCTTTGTGGGATGGACTTGGTTTGGGGGTGATATGGAAGACAGGCCAAGTCGTATTTCAGGATTGCATGATATGGAAATAAGCAGCCTGCCTCAGGGAATGGATGTGAGCAACTAGATGCCAGGGTCTGTCCCCATCAAAAGCCTTATTATCCCTGAATCACAAACTTCTGCCCCTTCCTACTCCCTTTGCCCACTACTTTCTCCATAACCAGGCAGTATAAAATACAGAGGGTGTTTCATAAAAGGCCATTTTAGAGTCAATATAAATGATGGAGCTAACTATTGCCCATCTCTGAGACACAAAAACAGCTGAACTAAAGACACATGGGTCAAAACAGTAACTTCTCTCCCCTGGCTGGAGGTCCTTGGCAGGACAGGCTGTAGAAATGTTTTGATGCTTTTGAGCCTATACATACTAACTCTCTTGAGGGAGACAGATACAATGGAACACCCAGAGTGGGATTGTGACCTCTGACTTTACTACCAGATGAGGGAGATGTAAATGGCAGGGATAGAAATACCACAGCACCCATTATACAGACTGCCAGCAGTTACACTTGGCACTCTCCAAACAGCATTGGAATTATGAGTGTAACTGGTTAGAGAACCCAGGGCTTCATTTGCAAGTGAATAACTCTAGTTTTGGAGATTTAAGCTGTCCCACAAACCTGCTGCAGGACAAATTGTTATATGCCCTGCTGATGGGGGGGGGTGGACTCGAATGACTTCTACATTTTCTACATTGTGGGAATGTAGGGAAGGAAACTCCTGCATGTGACAAATCAAATACCTATTTTATCTAGGAGATACTTGATGGAGTTCCATCTGCTAAAACGCTACAAGTTTGTAAGCCACAGAAAATGAGCCAGTGAGAGCTTTTGATGTCTAAATGTGACAGAGAATGTTCTTAAGTCATGCTCTTTTTTTTCATTGCAGTTGAATTACAAACTGATCTTGCATGGATGTCTAAAATATATATATGGAGCAAGAAGGCTACAGTGGTAGAAAGTTTTCCTCCATAAATGTCAGGGACAATATCAGGAAATGTCATTTTTCTTAGGATAACGCAGGAGCACAAGGACAATAAAATGGAGTTTTAAGCAATCATATGGCATAAAACAAAATCTGTCTGACTGCCAAAAGAAATTAGTCTTCTGACATTAAAATGTAATCTTAGAGGTAATACATACAATTCAAAATAGAAAACGACACAGGAGTCATGACTAGGCAAAGCAACTCCCTTTAGGCCATTTAAAAGCACCAAGGCTTACTTCCCTTCTATTCTAAAAACCGTTCTCCTGGCTCAGCTTGGGAGCAGGAGAGCTTATGCCTTCCGAAAGGGCTCCACAGCTTGGCTCCACCACCTGCTGGATACACCCACTCACACCTCAGGCTGTCTTTCCCCAGCCCCCTCCCCATCCACAGACTGAGCTATCTTCCCACAGAAGCACCGCTAAGGAAGTAATCATCCAGCGAGAAAAACAGCGAGAAAAGGACCCGGGAGGGTCTTGTACTAAGGCTGCCCAGTTTCCAGCAGGCACGTGTAAGAAGCAATTTCATAGTTGAGAGGCTTTCTATGTGAAGCGGCCACGGTGAGGTCAGCCCCTGTTGTGGAAGTTCACCCACTGAGCAGCCTCCAGGGCCCCTTCAAGGAGCCAGTGTGCTAGAGACACACCATGGAGCCCAACTTGACCTCCTCACCCAGCTCTGCCTCCTTTTACAGAAAGCCATGTGACTACTGACATCTTCATGCCGAGAGAAAGATCAGGTTGTTTTTCTTTTTAAATCGATAAAGAAAATAACAGCCCCCACTCCCACCCCGAGACATGATGCAAAGTGTCTTTAGTTTGGCATAGGTTTGAGTTTCCACAGCCATGAGGGAAGGTGTTTCATTAATCAGAGGGAACCAGCTTGGAGAGAGCCCACCTCCTCCTCCCAGCGGGATCGCGCGACTCTCCACTAGATGTACTTCTGCCATCTAGCGGTGAGAAGGAGAACAAACTGAGGCGTAAACCAAGGAAAAAGTGAGTTGAGCTGCTAGCCAGATTCCCAGGCCTCTTCCAACCAGGACAGGTGGATGGGATGCCGCCATGGGCTGGGTGGGCGTGTGCTAAGGGTGACATGGTAAACTAACTGGTCCTCTTTGCCCCAGGACACTTGGCCTACTGTCCTCCTACGCTACGAGTTTAAGGAAGGCATCCCTTACTGGCCCTGTTAGATGCATTTATGCCTGGGTTTTAAAGACCCTGCTTCTCCTTTACAGACCGCACTGCCTGGCCTCTTCAGTTTCCCGCAAACCCTCTTTCCTCGCCCGTGCCCTGTGAGAGGAACAACTTACTCGGCTGCCCACTGGATGAGATCCGGAGGCTGGGTCCGAATGGCAGCTTTGGTGAACTGCTTTAGCAGTTCTGGCAGCTCCGGTGGGATGCATACTTGCTTGTCTGTCTGAGGCATTGATCCCTTGACCTACGTGCACGACAAAAAAAGAGCACAGGGATTTTATTTGAGTCATCAGCAAGCATGAATTGTAAGATAGCACCCTGGAACAAGAGATCCCCCAGACCCTACATAACACTTGTTTTGGAAGGTCGGCTAGCCCACAAGACAGATGCGGTCTAGAAAGTAGACTGCTGATCTTTACATTGTGCTGTAAGGAATGATGTCCTTTACATGAAAAAAAAAGT